TGATGTGACTAAACAGTCTAATATGACTGTAAACAGTCTGATGTGACTGTAAACAGTCTGATGTGACTAAACAGTCTAATATGACTGTAAACAGTCTGATGTGACTGTAAACAGTCTGATATGACTGTAAACAGTCTGATATGGTTAGAACCCTAACTAACCCTAACCTTAGAATATGAAAACATTGGTGAATGCCACAAATTCTCCTAAATCACTCGTACGCACAACTTAAGAACAAATCTGTGAACCAACGGTTCTGACATGAGGTCCATTGAGGCAGGGCAAAGAGTGGTCTTAATGTTATTATTTTTTGGGGGGTTTAGTGATGCAGTACTAAAATGTAATTCCAGCAGGGGGCGCTCTCATCACAGCAACTGTCACGACACCTGGGAGAAGACGTGTTATGACGTCATTTCCTGTGGAGGGAACCTAACCCGGAACAGGGTGTTGGCTGAAGAAGGAGGAGAAGTCGGGACTGGGACCTGAACTAGAACCAGGACTGGGATTTGGACACTTTACTAAAGACATCGATTAGCACGTGTGCTGTTAAAAAGTGGTTTTGAGCCAACAGGACAGGTAACACCTTACCTCCAGGTGACGCGCGTTCAGGTGAACTTTCTGCAGACGGGAAGAGACACAGGTGAGACAAACACGACAGCTGAACTATCATTAGCTAACAATAGTTGAAAGTAGCAATAATTAAATCACTAAATAAGTTGTTGTTATTCTCTGCTAACAGCTGGAAGCAGCTAATGAATGCTAACAGCTGCTAGCAGTTCAAATAGTAAACAGCTAACGTTGCTAGCAGTAGTTAGCAGCTAGTCGGTGATCCATGAAGAGGAGAGGACAGGAAGTAAAAAACAGAAACTCTGAAGTCTAAATTCAAGAGGAACCGTCCAACTAAAGTGTGAGCAGAACTGACCCGGGCCAGCTTTATGAGCCTTAAATGGCCCCCCTCAGATAAAACCACTGCAGGGATTAACACACACCTGTAGCATGTAGCATTTAGCTGTGTGTTAGCTAAATATCTCAGACTATAGCAGACAGTAAGGACTGGCTAAATGTGGGCCACTAAAACTGGGGCCAGAACTGTCCAGTCAGAAGACACGCAGATGTCCTCTGGTGGTCTCTGTCCAGTCAGAAGACACACAGATGTCCTCTGGTGGTCTCTGTCCAGCCAGAAGACACACAGATGTCCTCTGGTGGTCTCTGTCCAGTCAGAAGACACGCAGATGTCCTCTGGTGGTCTCTGTCCAGTCAGGACACGGGGAGGACAGCCCACCTCTATAGCTCTGAGCAGTCAAAGGGACAGAATCCTTGGGGACTGTCTTTATGGACCCTGAGAAGTTCAGAACACTGGACCTCATGTAAGAACCGTTGGTACACAGATTTGTTCTTCAGTTGTGCGTACGAGTGATTTAGGAG